GGCTGGGTCCCGCTGCCGGCGTTCTCCGAGGCTTTGCTCCTCGTCTCCCCAGCAGACCAGGGAGATGTGGAGCTCGTCCCTCCCCACCCCCAGCAGACCAGGATGACGCGGAGTGGCTTTTCTCAGCAGACACCTCAGCTTGAGAATAAAGGACTGAGGGAAGTGAGGTGTGGGAGAATAAAACTGAGCTCTGGAGAAATGTTTGGCTAGAGTTTCCCCTACAATATGTACCAGTTCCGACTTACATACAAATTCAACTTAAGAACAAACCTACAGTCCCTATCTTGTACGTAACCCGGGGACTGCCTGTACAATAAAGTCGGATCCGCGTAACTCGGGGACTGCCTGTATTTCAAAATAAGCTATTTCACAGTATTTCTTCTGGAATAGCTTATTTCAAAATACACGTGCAGTGTAAATGAACCATAGTCTCTAAGCATTTAGCAGGCATTTTGGCAAAGGAAAGTTTAAGGAAGAATTTGAAGGAAGGCAACAAGGTGACTTTGAGGATGTTTAGAGAGAGCGCCTTCCAGCCAGGAGGGGAAGCATGAGAAAAATGCACAACAAAAATGCTTGTTTGAAAATTCAACCAGTGGGCAACTGAGACTAGTATCAGTAGCTAATCAGAAGCGGGAGTTAGTATTTCCCAGCTGAGAGAATACGTAGGATAGCAAGAGGCTACAAAGGGCCATGAAAGTGAAGACAAGTAGCTTATGTCTGATGCAGCAGAGAAGAGGGCACGGTGGAGGGACACTAGGGGTATGTCTAAACTACGCATTATTTTCCAAAGTGGAAAGACCTGAAAACAGGTCTTTCGAAAGTGAGAGTAGTCTGGATGCGTTTTTTTCCAGAAAAAAAACCCCTTTTTTAAAAAACCGTGTAAGCCTCATTTTTTTAAGGAAGAGTGGTTTTTCAAAACAGTTTCTTTTTATGAAAAAAATGAGTCCAGATTCCTTTCACTTTTAGTCAAGATGTAGCTTAAGAGAGGGGCAAAAAAGGTCAAAGCACCAGGCTAGGAAAATGAGCTTTACAGTAGCAAGCTGAATGAATATAAGTGGGACAAGACTGTATTTGTGAAGGCCAGAGAAAACTATATTGTGATCATTGAGATGCAAGAGAGTGACAGCCAGGACAAGAATTCTAGTTTCCTACACAAAACAAAATGTGTTAGCCCTGTTTTGGGTTAAGCATGAATTATAGCAATTAACCATCCTAAGAAATGTGAGTGCTGGAATGGATACGAGTCTGTCCTGTGCCAAATGTGCATGTATGAGGGAATGGTTCAGCCATTTCTGTGATTTCAAAGACCAGCTTTAGTGCCACTTAGAACAGGCGCTGAGCAGTAATCAATTGTGCCACTGAGGTAAGGTTCTTAATGGACACTATTGCCTGTGGTGGACGAGTAGAGCATATAGTCTACTGCACCTTCCCATCTTAAGGGAACTTTGCTGGGCATTTTATCCTAGATGATAGCCCTATTACGCCACCAGCATGGTGTCAAGGGGCCATAAATCACTACAAAATCTGGCCAAGCCATTAAGTTTTATTAATGTCCCCTTCACACTGCAATTATAGCAGTGCTAGTCAAAACACGTTGTCACAGAATATTTGAAAATGTTTGGTTGAAAAAAAAAGCAACGAAGGATGTAGAACAGTTTGTTTACGGGAATAAATTCTATTATATCCCTGCTAAAGAACCCGTCCATCCTTTCCTACAGGTGGGATTCAAGCATGCTGTACAGGGTGCCTCAATGTGGCTATGACATCAAATCACTTTCTCCAAGCTATTTAGTACACGCAGAACTTGAAGCATGTGAACTGTCACCTGAAACTCTGACTCTTAATTGTTCAGGCTAGTGCAATCTGACATGGGTGGTATTTCACATACTACATATCCATTGTTACTCCATTTCTGCTAGAACACCTTTTTCAGAACAGTGCAATAAACGTCATTTGAGTAGCAGCCTTCTAATATCTCTTTAGGAATCTAGAAGGAATTTGGTTTTCTCACAAGTCTCTTAAAATGATTGATCTAATAATGTTTCCTACTATAGCTTGTAGCTTCACTTTTGTCCACTGGAGTTTCATTTTTGTGGTTCTTCTTTAGCTATACTCACTGCAGTCAAGTCTGTGGTGAGTATAGCTGACGAAGAAGAAGCCCTTTTATGCCCCTCAGAAAGCTATTTAGGAAATCTGTTACCATCTTATTATCTAGACACAAAGTGCAGTAAATGTTAACAGCAGCCTTCATAGCAATAGCCAATTTCTTGGCCCAAAGTTTGGACTATGACATCTATTCGGGAATTTTTTTTAACCCATTACAGTGGAGCAGGGCAATATGATACATCAGAATCCTGACATCTGAAAGAGGAACCAAACATCTCAATGCAGCCTGTGTCTGTATGCATCCCATTTTGATTGAAACAAACGTTTTTGTCCCTTTTCCCCTTCTCCAGGTTAGGATGTTAATCTGGGTATGACTAATGGTGCCTGAACTTGCATAAGCAGCATGCTGAGAAACGACATTCACCTGCTTCTTGCGGATGTGGCATGCTCACCATTAGAAGGCAATTAGCTATATTATTTCCTTTCCATTAGAGCCAAGGCTCCAGTGCTGTTGCTTAGATAGCAAAGCTCAATCTCCTTCTGCCTTGATTGAGGCACCAGGATTCAATTAAGATTTTGCTTTTCATTTTTGTTTCCTTTTTTATGGTCTGCTTCTTTGTGGTAAGTTCTCTCCATTCTAGTGCTTGATTTACATCAAGAAAGCGCATGTACATGCTTTCCTAGCCTTTCATTACTAGGTTAGTTTAGGTAATAGAGCGCCAACTTCCACAGTTTTGGCTATTACTAGAATCACAGAGTGGAACTGCAGCTCTTTAGCAGGGAGTTTAATGGACTGATCGGGATTCCATCCAGGCAGAGAATTCATTAACCATCTCAAAGTCTCATCGTCTTATGCTCATGACAACATATAAACGATTTTCTGCTAAACACACTCCTGAGGGTGACTGCATGCAGCTACTGTATACGAGTGCAAATCATTTCTGTCTGTGCAACATGGAAGAAAGTCTATCTTGTGCTTCTTGTATAGCATATGAAGATGATTTACGTTTCTTTACTGCCTTCTAAAAGCTTTTCAGACAAACTATTGAATAATGTTTAGAGCTGGTTGAAAAGTGATCCTCCTCACAATTCACAGAATAATTTGAGGAACGGTTATACTGCAGCTTTGTGACCTGCTTATTAGCAAGATGAAAAGTGTTAATGTTAAAATATCAGGTAGAAGTGCAGTTATAGAATAGCCACACCTTTCTGGGAGCTGCAGCTACTTGTATTCAGTCTTGTGCCCAAAATGCACCCGAGAAGCACAAATAGCAGGGGATGGCATAGGGATGTTAGTATAAATGTTCAAAATCCTTGACATGCAACCACATATTTGACTACTAGAAGGATGAAATCTTCTTTCTGACCCAGGTACATTGAGTTGCAGTAGTTAGCCATGTGTGGGAGGAATGAATAACAACTGTGGTGAGGTTCATGAGAGATAATTTGTTGCAACCAAGAGAAGATGGCATAAGTTCTCTTGGCTACCTCAACTAACTGAACATCTGGAGGCAGTTAAGAATCCACTCTAAACAGTGAGCTGTAACTAAACGCAAACATAACTTCTCAATCCAGGTAACAACTATTACTTCTTCCCACCCCTCTGGATGTTGCCTTCATCCCACCTATCTTAGTTAGATGGCACCTCAGCTAAACAAGCTAATCTCAGCCACACAGTTTTGGGAAACAAAAACTGTATCACCTTCCAGGAAACTGAGCTAAGTACTGTCAAAACTGTAAAATAGCCCTTCTCCCCATAAACATCCTCACCAAACAGCAACAGTAGTGATCTAGAACTTTCTGCTGCTCCACAGCAGTGCCCTAATATCACCCTTCGATTGCTTTTAGAGAAAAAAATGGAGGCACTTTTGTTCGGGCCTCCGGGCATGTTATTAATCCTGCTGATATCAAAGACTCCTGCTATATCTGAAAAATTAGCATGAACAAATGCACTTTTCGCTACACTCGAAGATCATCAGCCAATGAAACCAGCACAGTCTCCATGCATAGCCAGGTCTAAAACAACTAGAGAGAACAGAACTTAGTAAATCTGAAGACTTCTCATGATGCCAAAGCTACAATCTTCTTGACACTAGCCATGTGTCTAATATTAAGATTAGAGCCATGACTCATGAGCCTTTTAATATTAAAAGTGAGTTTCTTGACCACAGTTCATGCTTGTATTAGTAATACTAGCATGTTGCAGTCCCTAAGGGAGATGACAGTAACGGCCAACAGTAATGAAACTAATAGATCACCACCCGATTTCACAAATTCTGATGAGCACTGGTCCAAATTACAGATCCTCAGTGTCCCACAACAATTCTGGAACCTCACTAAGGAAGCAGACCAGTGTTACAGCAAAGAAATGCCACAATTGTCCTGCCACACTCTTACAAGGGCAGTGCTTGATCTTAGATTTTTCCATAGAAGCCATCACTTAAGTGTAAATAAAGTGTGTGAAACACTGGGAGATTTCTTTGCTAAAAGTGGATAAAGAATGTACCATTAACATTTGGCGATTAGCTTAGGAACAAAGCCGAGCGTCTTGAAAACGTGTGTATTTAGCAGCATGTTCTATGGACGTGAGACATGGGTGATAATGAAAGATTCAAAGAGAAGGATATTGACGTTCGGGAGGAGTTGTTATAGAAAGATCCTGAGAATAGGGTGGATGCGAAAGGTCACCAAAGAGGGATTATATAGGAAGATACAGCTGAAAGAGAACCTACTGCAGAAGGTTATACAATAGAAGTTACAGCTGTCTGGGCATATCTGCAGAACAAATGACGAGTGAAAAGTTAAGACCCTGGTATTTGGCATAAAGGATGGTACAAATAGGAGAGACAGACCCCACAGAGAATGGGTAGATGATGTAGTAGATTGGTGCGGAGCTAGTCAACAGAAACTAAGCCACTCCACACTAGACAGGGAAAGATGAAAGGAAATAGTGAGGGAGGCATCGGACACCAAGGGGCATTTAGCCCATCGTTGTTGTTGATGATGATGATGATAATGATTTACTGTCTCGCTATCATGGAAGGAATAGTAACAAGGTTGTGTAGAATCAGAACTGCCATTAAGCGTGTCTTTCCCATATATATATATATAAACTGCAAAACCCTATTATTAATAATACCACTTAACAGTATTTCAAGAATAATCTTAAAGCCGGTGCCAACAGTGCCTCAAAAGCCTATTAATGTAACTTGCTGATGGAATTGTCATACACAAAACCTTTACTCTTATCATTTTCATAATAAGCACTGCCCTGGCTCCTGAACAGTTAGGGAAAAACCATCATTTTCTATATCTTGACTAAGTCCTATGCAGTTGGAAAGCACCAATCAGGAAAACATAAGGAATAAATGATTATAAAGTTCTAATATTACTCATATCTCAGAAAACAAATAGTAACAAATAATGAAAGATAAACTTAAAAATAACAAATAGTCTGGTAGCACTTTAAAGACTAACAAAACATGTAGATGGTATCATTAGTTTTCGTGGGCACAGCCCACTTCTTCATATGACCACGAAAGCTCATGATACCATCTACGTGTTTTGTTAGTCTGTAAAGTGCTACCAGACTATTTTTTGTTTTTTAAGTTTATCCTGTACAGACTAACTCAGCTACCCCCTGAAGCTTTTAAATAATGAAAGAGTTACAAGTTAGGGAAGGGAACTGACCTTTTTCATAGAAATTTCTGTCTTGCTATCTAATATAGTAGAGTTTTAAAAATGCATACAGCTAAGTTGAACGTGAGAGAAAAGAGGAGAAAATGCATGATATTGATGATTTGATCTTTTAAGTATTGGGTTCCATATTTTAGAATTCCCCAGCTTTGATCACTGGGTGGCTCTGGGTTGTTGGCACAGCTACTTCACCCCATAGCCACAGTTTAACAGGGATTCACGTCAAAGAGCATTTTCTATTTGGTATTTCAATGTCTATGTGAAATAATTTGCCAAGAATGATCTTACTCTTATCGAGCAGCCCTTTACATAAAAAAAATCCAGTGGCCACGGTGCCTTCATAAGCAGTCTCAGCGAGGGGCTATGGGAAAAGAATTATTCCTTTTCCCCAAAAGGGTCTGGTGCACAGGAGTGCTCAGACACATTGATGGGATGGCAAGGCAATTAAGGAGAAGCTTGTTTTATCATGATATTGGATTATAGTACATGTTGAACCTCTTTAGTCCAGCACTATTGGGACCTGACTGGTGCCGGACTTGGGGATTTGCCGAACCACAGGAGGCCAATATTGTAGCGAGTGGGTGTCTTTATTTTTATTTAACTAAGGCAAATAAATGGAATAGTGCTCGGAATGCATCTTAATAACATATGACTGTACCGATACACCCTATATAAGCCTACACCCAGCTCAGGCTTATCAGCTCTCTTCATAGCTGTTTTATCAAATAATAAATATATTATAATACATATTTTATCAGATAATAACAAAGTCTTAGAGTTATTACACAATTTTTACTCTATTGGCACGAGGAAATAAGTAGATAAAGCATAAAAACATGCTTGCACTTTTAGCCGTAATTTAGAGCTAAAGAACAGCACAGAACTCTGAGAGCCAAGATGGGTGGGTGTAAACAAACTTTATAGGACCATGGGGAATTTAGCCACACCCACAATAAGCAGACAACCGACTAACTAAAAACATGCTGGACCATGGATATTGCTGGACCAGAGAATGCCAGTCTATAGAGGTTCAATCTGTACTACTGCCAGAAGGGGACAACAATTTTCAGTGCTGTCAATCTAGTATCTCTCATATGAGCCTCAATATCACTTGAAATATATATCTCCATATTCTGTTCTTTCATTACTGATGTAAATCCAGGGTAGCAATATTGAACATAATAGATTAGGATTCTTCTAGATCTATAATAGTGTCTGGAGGGGGAAAAAGCCTACTATACTTATTTTGAAACCCAACCTATTTTTTACCAGGAATACAATATATTACAAAAGTTCAAACCCCTCTTGAAAGAATCATCTCTTTTGCCTAATCAGTGGCAACTAACTTAAAGGATGCAAATAGACATCTAGATGCAAAAGAAAAATAATTACAATTCAAAATCTTCTCTGATTTAAGGAATTCAATGTTTTGAAAGAAATAAAAAGTACAACAATTAATTAATTCATATGCTACATAATAGAGAAGTGAATCTGCATTTTATTAACGATTTCATGCACTAGCATCCTGTGCCAATTTGATGCTGTTTTATAATTTGAAAAAGTGTTTATCTATGCAATCCATAGTGGTTTCTAAACAGAATTTGGCCGTTTATTTGAAAAATAAGAAGATAAAAGTTCAAAATGGTACAAGCTACAAGTATCAATCATGCACATTAGTCTTATTTTAAAACTTACATTCTCTTAAGTTTCTTATACTGGGAAAAAGCTCCAGGGGGAATTGTTTTGATGGAATTCTGTTCCAAGCGTCTAAAAACAAACAGAGCAACATAAGATTATAATGCAGAAATAACATTAAATGTTACACTGACTTTTTGTACAGATATATAAAACTATATTTGAAACAGACTTTCTTTTGAAAGCTGCTAAAATTCAGCAAATAGCTTTTTTAGACAACAAACTTATCTTCCCGATTAAGTAAATTTCTATAAAAAGAAAGAAAAGCAAGCACACAAGAAAGCAAGCAAGCAAGCCATGGTAAATTTAATTCTGTGGGAGCTAAGCCCACTTTCTCCTTTCTCAGAAGAGACACACTGCAAACCACACCACCACAACATCTTTAGGGCCAAAAGAATTAATGAAAGATTTTCAATGTATAGTGTAATATTTTGCACCAAGAATAAGGTAAAAAACTTGCAGTTATTGCAAGAGAATGGCAAATGTCCACCTTCAAGAAGTTGCTTTATTCTTATTCTCTGAAGCAGATAAAGGATGCCTTTAAGCTGACTCAGTTCTAAGGGTACGACTACACTACGTGCTTATTTCGAAATAGAGCATCTACACTACAGGGAAGCCTCAAAATTAGTCCGAGGCAGGCTTCCCTAATGTGGATGTGCTACCTCAATTGAGAGCCCCGGGAGGCACTGGGGAGTAATTACTTTGAATGGCCCTTGGGAGGAGCTATTTCGGAATAAGCTATTTCGGAATAATTCAAAGAAACAGAATTGCTGTGTGGATGCTTGCATTGTTATTTTAGAATTACAGCTGTTATTCCAAAATAAGGCTGTTGTGTAGATGTACCCTAACAGAATACTTTTTATACATATTTCTGAATCTCCCAATATAATCACTTATCTTGAGATAAGAATTTGGTAAGATAGAATTTGGTGCAATGTCAGACCATTAGACTCTGGCAGTGTTTCTCAAAGTGGTCCGTGTGAGAAAGCTGCTACTGGGCCGCTTCATCCTAACCCCAACCCGCTTCACTACCAGCATTTACAATAGTGCTAAATATTTTTAAAAGTGTTTTTAATTTATAAAGGGGGGGGGAGGAGAGGTTTGCACTCAGAGGCTTACCATGTGAAAGGTGCCAAGACAAAAGTGAGAACCACTGCACTAGACTCTCATGGATAAGTAGGTCTGTTTGTAAAGCATGGGGGTAAAAGCAAGGAATTCTAAGTTCTAGAGCTAGGTAGGTCACTAACTCACTTTGTCACTTTTTTAGACAAGGCCATATAATAACTTCTGTGTCAATTTTCCAATTTGTAATTTGGGAATAACAATGCTCTATTACATATCTTTCACAGGCGATGCAAGAATTGTGATATAAACTTTAAAAAAGGAAAATGATATATAAAAAGCATAAGATACGTTTGCCTCTTTTGATGTCCACTTAAGAACTAAAAAGGAGAGATCTCAAGAGATTTTGTCACTACTTTAGAATATTAGGGTCCATTTGTAAAGCCATATACCGAAGGCATCCCACAATAAAAACCAAAAAATTGCAAGGACTGATTGAGGAATATAAAATTCAAATTCACTTTTTAAATATTTTTTCATAAAAAAGTTTCTAAGTAGACATTTAGAAAGGTTCCCATAATCCTGAAGGACAGGCTTTGTAATCGTATAGGTTAATAAGAGGAAAAATGAATCCTAACAAGCTAAACTCAAAATACCCAAATTATCATGCTGCCAAAAATTCTTATCTCCAAATCTGACAGTGAAGAAAATTTGTTTTTACTAAGCCTCTATTTTGGAAAAAAAAAGTATGTTTTCCTAGAATGTCACATAAAATCGTAATTTTTAAAAGTGTTAGCATGATCATACAATCACTCTTGTTGGGAATGGTAGAGGATTGAAATACAAAGCACCCCAATATATCCTAAACACCTCAGTGACACCTACGGGTCCAGGACAACCCAACACACTCTCCTCTTTAAAAGCAACCATGGTAATGGGTAATTAAGAACATAACTCCCTGAGAGGACATGGAGTTAATTAGCATTGATTATTGGTGTAACCATATGGAGGAGAGAAACAAAAATATGGAAGTATGGGTTCTCGAGATAACATGCATTGCAGCAAGAGGGTGAAGCATGTGTTTGAAAGGACTGCAGGAGACTGAAGAGGGAACTTATGGAGCCAATAGCAAGTTGCTTCAGAGAATATCCTCTACATGATCTGTTCCTGCAATGAATAAAAAAAATCCCACTTTCCCCAATACATTTTCACTAGTTTGGCTGTCTTACAGGAAACAATTGAGTGGATCTGAATAGCAAGTAAAGCAATAAGTACGTAATCATTGCCATTAAGCTTTACTATTACCATTCCTATTTGGGGATCCATTAGGAGACTTAATTATCTTAATCATTCCGTGATTTGAATCTCTGTACAATATTTCCCTCACAGTTGGTTCTAAATTGTGTGGTATGCACATGCACTGTACTGCAGGCGAGTGAGCAATGAAATGTAAATTGCTGCGAATATCAGCACATTGTTTTTTTAGTGTGCTTGTGCTACCCAGAGTTGCAACAGATTTTTCCCAGACATTCTGTAGGTCAATTTTTCAGAGAAGGCTTTTGCTTTGTATACTCACAAAGGTTTGCCTTTCTAGGAATAAAATGGGGAACTCTCTTCCCAACAACCCACTCTGCAGACACAAATTAGGTGTTTCTGTGCTTCAGAGAGACACACATTTCTTCAGGACCACTTGACTGAACAGAATTGCAAAATGAGATTAGGCTGGGTGAAAATCTGGTCCTTCATTAATAACTCTTTAAAGTGCACAGGGAAATGTCACATGTAGAGGTTAGAATCAATTGTATGTAAAAGATAGCAACCCTCCTCTTTTCCCGTCACACACACACACACACACACCAAACTGCAATCACTACATATCAAAGTCCACAGCTCCTGAAAACATAAAATAAATAATCTAGAAGATGACAGAGGAATGGGGGAAAGAAAAGAGAAATTAGGATTCCAGAGGGTTTTTTCATAGGGAGTTGGCCAGCAACACTCAGAATTAGCACTGAATTCTTCACTATTCACCACAAATGAGCAGCAGATGGCCTGTGATGAAAATAGATGGTCAAGGGTGGTATCACCTGCTGCTGCATCTTCAGCTTAGTTCCGCAATAAGCTCTTGATTTCATTTTATTTTTAAGAAGTCTTTCTGTGGGGGACTATGGAGAACAGATGATGTAAATTTAGTGGGCCCTATCATGATAATGATACCCTGCAAGTAGATGTATGTAGATTCCAACTTGCCACAAAGCATAGTCGACTCTTACTCTATAGTATTAAAATGAGCAGTTGGAAAATACAAAGGAGACAGCTGGACTTTTATCATTCTTTTATTCATAAATGCATGTTATGGTGCTGTGGGTACAGGTTTTTATATTATTAGAAATGTGAAAACCTATGTGATTTATACTGTAGCTTTGTACTACCAGCCTGCCTGACCTCACTAGCTAAGCAACATGAGTACAGGTCAGTCTGGGATGGAAAATGTCCCAGGAACAATTAGATTCTTCCAGAAGATGTTTCTGAGGGGTCACTCTTCACTACGAGTCAGTGCGGACTCACCATGCTATAGTGCGGAACAGTGCTGCTGGAAGCACAATCTTTCAAATAAGAGGCAAAACTGAGGCTCTTACCAGATCGTGTAACCCTCCCGCCCCCCCAAAAATGGTGTGGTAACCTGAGGGTGGTGGTTACATTCTGTTAAGAGTAGAGCTAGACAGAATGAAATGTATCAAATTTGCATCTTCAGGTGGATAGTATTCTTCAGCCCATATCCTAATGTGGTAGCTGCTGCTGCTGTACACTGGTAAAGAACAACTTTGTTCTTTCCCAGAAGTGACTGAGGTTTCAATGGATAGTGAAGTGATCCCTTATACATAACTTTTACTTGCCTCACTGGAATATAAGGAAACAATTTTGGAGATGCATTTTGAGATTCTCTGACAAAAGATGCAAGTGAAAAGAATAATTTTAATTGACTACTTAAACCATTTCCCCCCAGGTACTAGATTTCTGTATTGTTTGGAATTAAAGTAAAAATGTATGAGAAAATGTTCACTGATACTTTGCAACCAGCTGTATTTTACAGACATAGCACTGACTATGTAGAATCCATGAGAACACACTATAAAGACTGGTGGAATAAACTGATTTGATAAGAAATGTACCATTCAACCCTCTCATAGGGTTTTGCTCCTCCGTTCAGTCATCCCCTTCAATCTGCTATGTCAGCTGCTGCCTGCAAGCATTGCCCAAATGTGTTGTAGATGCTGCACTTCCCCCTTCTGCTTTGAAACATTGTTGTGTCTGCCTTGGAGGGAAGGTTTCTTTTTAAAGCTTCAGTGACAGAGGATGTCAAAGGATAAGAGCAATTTCCTTTTCCCTTCTCTAATAAAGTATCAGAGCCTGGAAAACCCAGACAACCTGATGGATTCAGATGTATTTTTTTCCTAATATTGTGATGTGGGAGAAGATCTTTTTTGATTTTTAAATGACTTGTGGCACTAAGAGTACATAGCAAACAAAACAGTTAGAAAAAGCAAGGAAGAAAGGATGCACTTAAAGGTGACAAATGATCCTGCGACAAAGAATAAGCAATTGAAATCCCATCCTAATCCATCTCAAGGTTCTCTGGGGTGCAAATCTTTTCGTCACCACCTCATTTGATGCTTAAACTACTCAAACACATAGCAGGAAAACACAAAGGATTAAAAAAAATCACCTAACACAGCTTTCTTAGAGCCAGATCACATTCTTTGGAGGGGTGAAAACATTTGTCTTGAAGAGTAATGCTCATTACAGAGTGGGGGAGACAGTCATATTAATTTGGGCCTCAGCTATCTCTTTTTCATTGGGGGGAAAAACAGAATTTGTTACTCGGCTTGTTAATGGAGCAGTTTGCTAGCAATTTTCCCATTTCAAACAACATCTCGGCCGCTAATGCATAATGGTTTGTCAAGCCTACCCATAACACAGACAAATCACTAGCTTGGGAAAACAGAGAG